GACTTACTTGGGCAGCATCTATTTGTGAGACTGTTCAGTTTAACAAGTCTTTATTTAGTGACTCATTTTTCATTTTCCATTATATTAATCACAAAGTTGAATAGACTGCATTCTTTAGTCCTCTTTTATGGCTGAATGGTGCATTTGGGCATGTGGGCGTGCATGCATGCACAAGGCACATGTGAGGCGATCTCAGGCTAGAGAAGAGTTAGTAAGCACATCAGCCTGCTCTGTGTCCTCAGGCCACTTTCCCTCAACGCCTCTCATCTCCAGAGCTTTCAAGTGATGCCAAACTGGAAAAACTTTCAGAAATGCATGACTGTCTCTTCCATCCTGTTGTGAATAAAACAGCTGAATCGAACAACGCAGACTCTTTTGGAACTCTCCCTTTTTTCACGAGCTGCTGGCATCCTCACAATGCATTATTAGCCAAGGGAGATCACAGGACTGGCTGTTAAGGGATCTTAGATATGGTTTTAGTTTGGGAATATGTTCCCTCAGATGGTTGTGTTTTGGTGAGTAAAGAGTCTCATGCAATGGCAGTGAGTGTATTAAACATCTCAGGAAAGCAGAATTAATCTTCTAAGCATAATGCCCAATTGGAAGAACCTCCTATTCACTGATAGTCATATGGCTAAATTGTGGTTTATTCCTATGATGAAATGAGTAGGCCTGATTCCAACTGACCCTCCGTTTGCAATGACTAACTACCATATTGCCAGCTGGCTTGGATGCATGGTTATCACTCAATTAAAATGGAAGAGGGCATAACATCAGTGTGGTAACACTTTGGTTCCTATGGTAATGACATAATAATATATATGTCACATGAATTCTCCCAGCTGTCTCAGCACCTCACTGTCAGGTGTCCACTTGCGATTCCAGTAATGGCAAGACAGACAGGAAGTTAGGCAGTATTGTGCTGAGTGCACAGGAGAAGGACCATCGGCTATTGTGTTCTTCTTCCTGTTCTACCTTCTCAGCCAGTACCTTGTGGGTGGGAACTTTCTAGTAAGGTTAGCAATTCTTGCTATCTAGTTAATCAGTTTAAACCAGATAGAAAACTTATCATTTAAAACGTCAGTATTTCAAGAAAATGAAGTTATACATCTGTGTTGCATGCATCAACAATGCTGTAGACGTGTAATGTTAAACATGTCCATTACAAGAACACTGTATTACGGTGGCAAATATCGTGGGACCCACCTTTTTTTTTTTTTAATCTTATGTGCAGCTTTATATTCTCAGTCTTTTGGCCTCTGCCAAATACATGGATATCTACCATCACTTTTTCTCTTTTTCTCTAAATACATGTGTATATCAAAGGACATATTAGCTAATTTTGGTTGGTTTGGGAACACAAAAAGCGGTGTGCAGCTTTAAACATTTCTGTCACGACTTGCTTTCTTCTTTCAAGCACCTTTAAGAATCTTCCAATATGGAGCTGGAATTCATTTTACCAGTCTGATTCATTGAATAAAACGGTTAGTTGCTGTTAGCTTGTGATCTTGGCCTTCTGAAGACCAGGAGTTAGTTATCCATTTTAACATAAAGATGCTCTATCTTTGTCTTTATAAGCAGTTTTGCTTCTGAGATCATTAAAATTAATCCTGCGACATTATAAATGATTTTATGCTATATTTTCTCATATGAACCCTAATTTTGGCCTTTTGTTAATTTCTAGTTCATCAGTAATGAACTTTTTTTATAGTAAAACATACTCAGTTTAGCTGGTCAGATTTTATAAAGATTTAGTTTTATGCATGTTATGTGTCTTGCCTGCATGTATGCATTTGCTTCATGTTTGTGCAGTGCTTGCAGAAGCTTAGAGGGTGTCATTTTCTCTAGGACTGGAGTTCTGAGCTGTCTTGTGGGTGCTAGGAACTGAACCCAGGTCCTTTATATGAACAGCAAATGCTCTTAGGTGCTAAGCCATCTTTTCAGCCCACAACTAGACTTGGTTTTTTAAAGTATTCAACTTTTTCCATGTTTTCTTAAACTGCTACTTCCAAAATATAGTTTAGACATTTTCAAGAATGTCTAATTTGCCCCATTGACCCTGAAACCTTTGTCGTAGTTACTATGATTAATTAGGATAGTTTGACTTTATTTTTTTCCTTTAAAAATAACTTATTACTTTTTCAGTGTGTGTGTGCGTGTGTGTGTGTGTGTGTTTGGGTTCATATGCCAAAAAACCACATGTGGAGGTTGAAGAACAAGACAAAAGTCGGTTCTTCCTTTCTGTCATGTGGAAGTGGGATTAAACCCAGGCTTGGTGTCAAGCATCTTTATCTGCTGAGCCATCTTGCTGGCCCACAATGATCAATCATCACATAAATCTTACTTTATAGCAGGATGGTATTTGATAATCCTTTGTGTGTGTGTGTGTGTGTGTGTGTGTGTGTGTAGGGCGGTTCTAGCGTGAATTGCCTTTCACATGTTTTTTTTTTTTTCTGGTTTCTTTTGATGAGTCTCTGTCTTCTCTCAGTCCTTCTACCCTTGGAACATCCAAAAACATGATACTCATGGATACCCCTTCTTTTTCTACCTCAGTAATGAGTGAGAACTTTAGACAGGCTCATGCTCTGATGACAATCCCTGTAGCATCTCTCTAGTTCCAAGCACACATTTAGCATATTTACCTGGATCTAGTGGGCGTCTCAACACTTGTCCATCTATGGCTAAACTCCTACAGTCTATCGTATTTGTAGCCATTACTATCTTGCCACATTCCACACCATGGCTGTTCACCAGTCTGATGCCTTCTTCAGTGAGAACAGGCTGAATCTGGGGACGCATTTCACTCACCTTTAAATCCACTATACCTAGCACACGGCTACCATTCAATAGCATTATATTAACTTACTTGCCTTGGGGAGGGGCAGAGAACAGATGACTGAATAAATGAGTAACCATGTAGAGAAGCGGTTTTAAAACAGTTCCCTTGCTTACTTTGTGAGGTTTTAGTCTTGTTTCTGAATCGTGTTCATCATTCTGGATTAGTCGAAGCTATGCAAGGCTGTAGTACAGCATGTGAGGGCACAGGTGACAGTGTGTCACACCCAGCCAGCCACAGGGAGCCCACTCAGTGTCGGAAATAAAGCCAAAGACACGATGTTTTGTTTCTCTTTTATTGTAACCCATTGCAAGGTCAAAAGATTCACAGAAATATAGAAACTACAAACTGGGTGAATTTTCTTTATTCATTCAAAAGGACATTAAAGACAAAGGACCAGAATTTTCCACTACAGCAATGTATTTCACAGGCTTTATTCTGAAAATACTGTTGACATTTGGAGAGGATAAAAAGCCCTGCATTAAATGTGTTCACATATATTTATGACAGTCTAAGCAAAAAAAAAAAAAAAAAAAAGGGACTATATTGCCCAGAAAAAAGTATTTTAAGCCTCATTTCAAAGCACCTAATGAGAGCGCATTCAACAACCTCCACAGGATCACTTGAGGTGAGGCTTTTCCTGGCTGCTTTTTTTAGATTAATGCTTTGAGGCTGGATACAATATTTCTACAGATTTCTACAAATGAACCGAGGCAGTTTTCCGGGTTCTGCTGCATCAGGGTTTCTGTATGAGTCAGCATCTTAGAGAATAAATGCACGCCCCCCCCCCCAAGCTAAAGCATTTCATAGTGCTGGACTTTAGGTTCAAAGAATACAATGTTTAAAAAAAAATCAATTGTACACTCCAAAACCATTGACAACTAGACTATAACACTCCAACGATTATTACAACTTTGAACTGAAATTGTACCGTCTCTATCAAAGACGGATTTCCCTTCTTTTGTCTTTGTGTAACTATTTAAAATATAGTGTGACATATATAAAAATTAAACTTTTGTTTATTCACTTAAGCTACTATTACTATACATACTGTCTTATAAATTAGTTTTGGGTTAAAAACCAGTTAAAATATTATGAAATAACATTTTTAGTAGTGGAGAAATGGATATAAAATGATACAGTTCAATATATAAGAAGAAATGTAGTTTTCTAACGGTAAACAGCTTTTTCTTAAACAAATTTCATTTCCGTCAAATTAAACAACCAACCCGTTTGGTTATGAAAAAGGTTCCTGGTACTTGCTCAGTAGGTTTGTTTTTAACTGATTGGGATTAAAAAAAGCCACATCAGAAGTTGACATACTCATAGGGAAACAAACGTTTTCTACAGAGAAGGGGTCATTACACATATGTGAATGGCGTTCAGATGTTAAGGCTGCTTCTGTTTCTTACAGCTCGTATTGTTGTGATTTATAGGAAACAAACTCAAACCTCATTATAATTGTTAAAGACCAAAGACCACATATGGGGAGAATAAATAGCAAGTTCAAAAGTCAAGGTTTTGCTTTTCCTACTACGAAAGATAATCACTCTTTAGCTTAAAAAGGCTCCCTGCTGCCTGATTATAAATCCAGACACAGGAGAGGTCACAGGAGCCCGAGTCCCTGCAATGAATTCACTGTAGAGATGTGTGAAATCTAAACATATACTCATTTCCTGATAGGTACTGACATACATAAAAGCTGGTAATATTTAATTAAACTAAAATACGTATTTCTGGCAAGTGTAAACAGAATCTTAATGAACAGATTTTCTAAATTCTCTCCTTAGCTCATACGTTAGCTAACAGTAGATCTTTGCAGTAGTGTACGAACTATTCAAAATTATAACATGCATATATTCAAAAAACCTGTTCTAAATCCCAAAGCAAAGGAAAAAATACAATAGGAAGATTGTCTACGTACATCTCATTCGTTAATCTTCTATCAGTATAACTACCCCACCTCAGAATATATCTTCATAATTACCAAAATAATGAAATGATCTGTAAGATTTCTAAAATAACTGCACACCATTAATTACATTCGTGGCTTCAATGTGGATAATGCCAAGATTAGCCCCAAATGTCACTAAAATACATCTTGACCAGTAACTATCCACAAAGTAAAAGCTAACACAGTGCTAATGTAAAACCAACTAAAATATTTATTACTTAACAGAATGCATTTATAGAATAATGAATAATTAACTTTTGTGAGCTGGCCAGGGGACTTCAGACTGTTGCCTCCATATACAAATTTACAAACGGCTGTATTCAGTCTACTTTCTAAGTTACGTACAAGACAGCAAGCTGTCCACCTGTGGGCACAGTAAGTTAGGCATAACCACAGTGGATAGCATGTTGTCTTCATGACCCAGGAAGTTTCTTCTGTGAGGAAATATTTTACCAAGCAAGAACTTGACCTAGCACATGTGTATAAGCATGACAGTACATGAGAGTACATGGTGTGTATTGTGGGATTTTGAGGGGTTCTAGTCTCCAAGCTTCTAGTTAGAGCAACATCACTTCTGTTCTGGTCTTCTCAGAAGTGCACAAGGAAGTGCACATCATAGAACAAAGCCTTTCGGTGAGCATTTCCAAGATGCATCAGCACTTACAAGAGGAACATTATACACCTAGTTTTCTGACTTGAGATTCCACAAAGGCTTTTTTAGAGAAATAAACTTTTGAATTGGGGAAAAAAAAAAGGTTGTGGTTTTCATAATTTTCTGTTTTGGGCAAAACAAGCCAGCTCACCTGGGGGTAAGTAACAGTGTACTTATGCTATGCAGAATGCAAACAAGACACAAATGAAACACGCACTGACAGGTGCCAGTTAAAACCTTTCCGAAAGACCCTGTTGCAGCTGCCCATTTCTCAACTCTGCTGAACAGCCTGAGTAGGCCTGGGCCTGGGCTTTGGAAGAGAGTTAGGAGGTGGCGGCAGACATATTGGGGGTCCAGCCCATCTGGTAGGCTCTCTCCAAGGTCCTCTTGCAGTCCTGCAGAACGGTGCTGAAGGTGATGTGAGGGTACTGCTGCACCAGCTGCTCTACCGTCACTTCATTGACCTGTGAGGAGAGAAGAGTCATCGTCAGACATGGGGCCACCAACACCATGCAGCCAGTGCTCACCGGGGTGCTGCGGGGCGTGCAGCGTGCCAAGGAACTCAGCTCTCCCCTTTCCTTTCCACTTAGCAATGTGACCAAGGATTTGCTGAGCGCATGTATTTTTCCTCCGCTCTGAGTTCTCTGATATTCCAGCACTATACTGCCCGTATGGATTTTTAATTAAACATGATGTCATGAAATCAAATGGACCTGCTAAACACAGATGACTAAATGACTGGGATTTGCCAGGATCACAGTGATGCTCATTAAGAACACAGAGCACAGGAAGAAGGAAACAATGAGGACATTCTCCTGTATCTCTGACCTCTTCACCCTCGGAAAGGCCTTTTTAGGCTGAGCACTGTACAATGGGGGCTGGGGAGATACACAGGATTCTAGATAGAAGTGCAAAGGAAAATGTTTATTTTTCTTCCCTTTAAATGTTGAGACATCGCAAACCTCAGGCCCTGTGTGAGAAGGGCTGAAACTCAAGGAATCAATAATTAAAACATACATGGCTGGCAGGTCAGGGATGGCCCCAGCAGACCTTGGCCGTCAAAGAGCCCACCTTGATTCCCGATCGGACAAGGCAATCAGACAGGCCTAATTAAAACTAACACCTTTACAATTGCTGTGCTGTGAAGGGATTAATTTGTCAATTATTTTTAAGCTGATTGCAGCTCATATCACAGACGTAGACAGCTTCCTTCATCCTTTAGATAAATAAATGATTAACCTAAGAACCACAACTTATAGGTAGCTTTATTTAAAATCTTTATCGACCACTGGGGCATTTTCGAATACATCAATATTTTATTTGTACTGTGTAAGCTATACAGAGTTAAGGCTGAACAAAGGTTTCCTGGTAGACATTTTTAAGTATCCCTCTTAACGTTCATTACTGAAACCAACAGCACCACCATTAAAAAAAAACCTTGAAAAACACAAACAACACAAACGAGTCTCGAAGGTGTTGCTGTTTGCTTTGAAAGCCTGCTTATAAGTCTAATGATCATGAGGTTTAGTTGTCTTTACTTTTCTAAATATGCGATTTGAAAGTTAGGTTGGCTATTATTTTTGTTCAATACTGAGAATTGCTATGGTCACATTGTACTGGTGACATTTAAGGTTTAAGACAAGGTGTTGATAAATACCCAGGTTGACATCAAGCACAGGACACTAAGACCATCCACGACCTGAATTACAGGTATGAACCATCATGCCCAACTGTCAAGACATTTCTCTAGTTATGTGTTTGTGCAAATCTTTCCTTTCTCTACCCACCCTGCTTTTTCTTTTAAATTTAGAATTGGACTCTTCAGCTGTAGAAACAAGATAAAGGGACTTACACTGTAGACTTGATGCTGTAAGGCTCAGATGTGATCCTATGTCCAGCACTATGACTGACATAATAAGCCCCCTAAATGGCAGCTCTGGTCATTGCAACAGGTACTCAGTGGAGAGTTCCTGAATGCCAGGGTTAACATATGATGTATGAGATACACCTACCCTCACAGTGCTACTCCATGTCACTCTGCTTCTATAGATGTCAGAAGTGAACCTTCATGACAGTGTTCATTACAATGCTCACAGGAAAACAGTCGCACCAAGACATAGTTTCAGGACATGCTTGTGCTGCACACTGCTTTTATAGATACAGAATGATTGAGTTACAGAAAACAAAACCTTTCACTATTTTCTACTGCCATCCCTTGGCATATAAGTGTCAGATTAGTATATATTTGAATTGTCTTATGTTAGAATGTTTGATTTTTAAGAATGTTGTCTGTGCTGCTGACTTGAGTTTCATAAAAAAATTTCATGAATGAATTTTAGCGTGGGATTAGGACAGAATCTCCAGTAATTTCAGAAATGGCTCTGGATACTTCTGCCATTTTGAACTACAGGTTTGTATTTCTATCTAGACATTTGTATTTATAGCATAGACAATTATAAAATCCAAGTATCTGTCAATTCTAAAAAAATACTGAAGATGCTCTATGGCCTGCAGCAGCTAATACTCAGCCAAGACTTAATTCTCTCTCTAACAGGTTCATAAACCTCAGCAGGAAAGAAACTTCCTTTCATCTTTTAGAAACATTAAAATTATTTGTATACCAAAGTATTGTTTTAAAATGAATTTCTATAAGTTTGAGGCCAGCCTGGTTTGCAGAGTGAGTTCCAAGACAGTCAAGGCTACACAGAGAAACTGTCTTGATACATCATAAATAAATAAATAAATAATGAAATTAATTTCTGTTATCTCACATCAATGCCTACCTGATTTGTAGACCTATTTTATTTATGTATATGCTGAAGGTAATGTACCTTCCACGTGATGAAAAGGATGGAGAACAGAGAGTGTTGGAGAAGGCCTGTTCTACAAAGACCTCTGCTGTCAGGGGACTGTGCTCCCCACACACTGGGACAAATGCAGGCTTCTTTCTCTACAAGACAGCGGAAGCCATGTAGTCAGAGAGCACATTGTGGAAAGCAGAGCTAGCCCACGCAGTCCAAGCCACTTAGCAGGAAGGGTCTACGGACAAGAAGCAAGGGGCAGGACACACTCGCACCTAGCACAGAGATTCGGACTCCTTCTCTAATCCATAGGCAGGCACGGACAAGGGTTTGTGCATAGGGCTGACAGGCAATTTGTTTTGGAGAATCAATTTTTAAAAAGAAAAAAAATGCCAGTGAGATAACTTTTCCAGAAAGAGATGTATAATTCACCTTAAGGAAACTCAATACATGAAGACATGGATTTATGAAGTATATAAATTAGGTAATAATTTTTCACATTAGCAAAGCCTTTCATAGGAGGGTTAATTTATTTCATCGGCTCCCCTAATACACTTCCTTTGGCTTAACAAAATTCAATTTATCTATTTTTTTTTGTATAAAGTAAGGTACACCTGTATTTAAGAATAGATGCCATGGGAATTCTCTGGCTTTCACAGGATATGGGTAAGAGTAAGTCACACATTGGCTTTGTGTAGCAGTATATGAAAGGGCAACAGTGGTCCTCAGTAGAGAACTCGCGCCTTCTAAGCAACCCTTTTGATTACTGTGCACTGTAAATTCTGGAAAACAAAGCAGAGGAGAACATGTAAATATCCCATTTTAGACCTTTCCTGGGGAAATGTTATATAGGGGAAAGGCGGGGGGCGTGTGCTCACAACAGGGAAGGTTCTATTTTTTACCTACAATGTCTCCTGGTGGTACTAATGGTACATTTTATATCCTGCTTCTCAGAAGTACATACGATGCTTCCTTCTTTGTTTGCACAGACTCTAAAGTGCTCTGGTGCCATAGAGGAGCCTGGTTATGACACCGGGAGAGACCGAATCATTTTTCATTCTTATGTAGACAAACACATGCCTGCAGAAAGAAACTTTGTCATGTGCCAGTCAACTTGTGAAAGCACATTTTCTAACATAAAATGCATGTAATATAAATGGGGAAATAAAGGTGTTTTAAAGATAATCCCCATGACATCTTTCTTTAAAATTCAATTTCCATTTTCTTTTTTTTTTTTTTGAAAACTATCAATGGTAACAAGTCTACTTCAGATGGATTTGAAAAATGAAGCATCATCCTTAAAGAAAAACTCAGAAATGTTATTTGAAGAAATTATTGTGATTAAAGGGGAAAAGCACATGCCCTAGGATTTTAAAGAATATACAAGAAAGATTAGATTTTATCGTTCTCTCTAAAGACAGCATAACCATGATTTACATTTTCAAAATTATTATAACTCTTTTTAAGGTAGTACAATTTGTCTGGTATTTTAATCTATTTTGAGTTAACGTCTATTAGCACTTTTTGAAAATGTGAGGCAATTTGCTATGCTAATTAAGGTAAATCATTCGATGGTTTCAGTATGCTGCTGCCACCGTTGCTGCTCCTCCAGAGGAGGGAAGCTCAGAGTTCCAACATGCCTCTACTGCCTTCCCGTCTCACCAGGCCCTTACCGACACCATCACCAAAAAGCTCCTGATCTGCTAGAACCTAGCCTAGAATTCAGCTATTCAAAAAACTATTCAACTGTTCAAAAAAATACAAGATCTGATAAAATATGGTGAAGAAAACATAAACATTCTTTGTTTTTAAAGCAAAAATGTTGTGCATGGTGCATGCATGTGACAGCAAATACACATGCAGGATGGGCCACATGTGGAGGACAGAGGAGGCTGGGTGTCTTAATCCCTCTCTGCCCTGTTCCCTTGAGACCAGGTTTCCCACTGACAGGAAGCTTGCCCTGTTGGCTAGCTGGCTGGCCGGTGAGCTCCTGGTTCCCACTTGTCCCTGTCCCTCAGTGCTGGGGTTACAGGGATGGGTAACTCACGTCCTCTTCCTTGGGGTTCTCATTCTCTCCAACCCAGAGTGATTTTCTCTCTGATGGAGAAAGCTCTGGTCCAGTTTGAGACCTGGACTGTAAGCTCCCAGACAACAAGGAGTACTTCGGTCAACTCTGTTTTCCCCCAACAGGCACTGTCTGTCAGTCTCAATAACTAAGACGCAGGCTGTTTAGGACTGTAGTGTTTTGCTCTCATATGCTGCCAGCTCTGCAGCCTGTGGCACATACCTACTATGCAGTACATCCTGCATTAGCTGGCTCAGTGAGTACAGGAGTTACTCAGAGAATCTGTTCTGAATAAATAAAAAAGGGGCATGTCGGCACTGTGTCAAGCAGAAGTTAACTCTGCTACCTGCCTGTCATTCACAATGGGGGCAGTATCTAAAGCCTTGACCTCACTTCAGTCCCCAAGTCCTTTAACAATTTTAAGTCCTTGCTCATCCTGATCCTTGGCTACTGTTGTTTTCTATCCAAAGTCGTCAGGTTCCTCTTTGTAGCAACACTCTCTCAGGAGCTTAGTGACTTTGCACACATATGGTGGTAGAGAAACTGTTGGGTACAAGGCTGTCAGGCAGCCCTGTGAAATGTCTAACCTGTCATGGGG